TCTAAACTTAACATGCACCATCCATTGTCTTCCAATTCTAGTACCTGTGTGTTCTGGGTTAGTTTTGATTGACTCCTTTTTCTCCTCATTATGAATTATGTTGTTCTGCTTCTTTGCATGCTTGGTAATCTTTTACTTGCATGTCACACATTGGATTTTACTTTTGTGTTGGATTTTTTGATGTTCTTATGAATATTCTAGGGTTCTGTTTCAGAGCACAGTTATGTTACTTAGAAGCAATCTGATTCTTTTGGGTATGGCTTTACATATTTTTTAGGTGGGACCAGAGCAGCATTATCTAAGGATAATCAATTCCTGAGTCAAACCACTTTTGTGTTTTCTACCCAGTGGCCCATGAACTTTAAAGTTTTCTAGTCTGGCTGGTGAGAATGTGCATCATTCCTGGCCCTATTTGAAATCCAGTTGCTGTTTTCTTTAATCCTTCTGGGTGATCGTTTTCCCTGTCTGAGGTAGTTTCCCCACATCCGTGCTCTGAATGGCACTCCACTACATACTTACGATATTGCTGTCTTGTTAAATGGATCTTGTTAAGGTGTTCTTCCTACACATGTGCTTGGAGCTCATTGGGACTCTTGGATCTGGGCCTTCCTAGTTTTCATCAAATTTGGAAATGTTTTGCTATTAGTCATTCATTCATTTTCTGTCCCATTTTAGGAACTCTTAGTATTAGGTTGCTTGATGCCCTACAATTCACTGATATTCTGTTTTTTTTCCTAGTCTTTTTCTTCTTTTTTTTTCATAAATATTGTCCTGTTTTCTAGTTGTTTTTTTTTTATGATGGAGGCAGAGATTGGAGTTATGCAGCTGCAAACCAAGGAATGTCAAAGATCGCCCACAAATCAGCAGAAATTAGCAATAGTCAGGAAAGAATTCCCCTCTGGGTTTCAGAGGGATTATGGCCCTATTGTCACCTTGATTTTGGACTTCAAGACTCCAAAACTGTGAGGCCATGAATTTCTATTGTAAGCCCGTCCAGTTAGTGGTACCTTGTCACAGCAGCTCGAGGAAGCTGACACGGAGGACTAGTTGGGCACTACTGCGGTCAGGAGCAGAAGCCCCCAGATGCTTTGGCATTTACTATCTCAGTGACTTTTCCTCCTCTTACCTTTCTCAGCAGATAATAATTGGAAGGCAAGTATCACAACTTATTTATTTTTGTGTTTTCCATAGCACCTATTTAACCTTGAATTTAACATGCATGTAAATTGGATATGAAATTCATGGCTTTAAATATGGGTGGGTAAAATAATTTTATTTTCTATAATTAAAATCATTTTATGTCTATATCCTCATTCCTCTGGGATACGTGCAGTTAATTCAGGGGTTTCGTAGATGGTTCATGCATTTCCCCTTATCCCTTTCTTCCTGGTGGCACCTAAGTTCTGGGGAGTTTGTAAGTGTCCAGGCATTGTGTGGGATCATACTTGGACTTTGGGCATTACTTACCTTTCCTTCAGAACCTCATTGGTAGTGGTTTTCAGAATTTGTGCCCACTGATACCTGCTGCCTCCTTGGTGTGTCTGTCTGTCCTTCAGTTCCAGCTGGTCCATGCGGGATGCTCTGTGTCTTCTATATCTCAGCCAGGAGGTCTCTTCAGGCTTGATGGAGTCTCTCTGTTTATCTCTTTGGCACGAATGAGAAAATGACTATTCCTGATCTATCCTGAGTTCCTTGGGGATTCTTGGAGTTAACCTTGGATCCCTCTGTCAAGAAACGTGTCAGACCCATGCATTAGTTTTCCATTGCCGCTGTAATAAATACCTGCAAACTTAGTGGCATGAAACAGCATGCATTTACTATCTTATAGTGCTGTAATATAGCTCAGAAGATTGACACAGGTTACACTGAGCTAAAATCAAGGTAGTCCTTTCTGGAGGTTTGAGGAGAGAATCCACGTCCTTGCCTTTTGCAGCTTCTAGAGGCCATCTGCATTCCTGGTTCATGGCCCCTTTCTCTTCAAAGCCAGAAACAGCATCTCTCTGACTGCTGCCACTGCCACATCTTTCTCTGACTCTCTTCTGTATTCTTCTTCCATGTTTAAGGACTCTTATGATCACACTGGGCACCCCTGGATAAGCCAAGATAATGTTCCTATTTTGAACTAAGTTAATTAGAAACTTTAGGTCTGTCTTCAACCTTCATTCCCCTCTGCTGTGTAACCCAACAGAGTCATAGGTTCTGGGGATTAGGATATCGGCATCTCTGGGGAGCATTATTCTGTTTACTACAGCCATTTCTACTTACTGGTCTCTGGTATGACAATGAGGGACCCAGGACCTTGTTCTCCCCACCCAGGATATTAGCCCAATTCTCCTCTGGCCTCAGAACTTCTGAGCTTCTGATCCTGCCCTCTCCACCAGTCTCTCAGCTCCTCTCATGGTTGGGATGTAGCCAGACAGAGGCCAGGACTCAGAGAAGGCAGAGATCAGGGGAATTCAGGAACATCCCCTTGGCTGACTCTCCTTCCTTTCCATCAGCCCAGGTAATTTTTAACTCTTGTTTAGAGGAACAAATAGACCCTGCAAGTATCTTCCAAATCTATTACTGAGTGATAGATTTCAGTTTTAAAACGAAAAAGAGAAGAGCCGAATGTATTTAGCTTTAACCTGTCAGTAGTGATTCATTAAGAATCTAGCATGGAGAGAGAGAAACCCAACCTGGTAGCAAGAGGACTTGAGGGGGCTTCCCAGAGAGGTGAGCCCCTACTTAAGAAAGTGAGCAGGAGAAGAGCAGGGACATGGCAGGGCATAGCTCGGGCCAGCCTTCAGTTCAGCTTGCCTGGCTGACGCCTCTGCATCTGGGCCAGAGATACGGCCAAGCTCCTCCCTCTTGGAGACCTGCGGCCAGAGAAGAGGGATCATATCCTCATTCACATTTGAATATATGAATGGCTTGAATGAATTAAATGAATAAGCAATATCGCAGATGGGGATGGAGAATGAGGAGATTTTTTTTCTAAGGCAGGAGCCATATGGAAGGAGCTCCTAGCTACTGAGTGTGACAATGATCAGAGAGTCAGGAGCCAGCTGGCTACTCTTATCTGACTGATATGTCTCTTCACCCTCCAATCTGCTGAGCCTTCTCTAGGGAGGAAGATTGCATTGCTCTCTGTGCTCAGTGATGACGCTGAGCCCATGCAGCCAATGAGTTACATCAGCTCTTAGGGGCTAGGCAGGACTCACACAGCCTTTGCTGGAGTGAAAGCTTGCCAACCTGCTGAAAGCATGGCACGGTCCCATCAAGGGCAAGAACAATGCCCTCCTCCTGGTATCTGCTGCCGCCTTCTGCACCCTCCCTCCACCTACATCTCCACTCAGGACTAACTCAATAAAAATTCCAGGAGCAGAGACAAAGGACAGAAAGGGAAAGAAAAGGAGAAAAGAGGCTGTGTGTATGCATGTGGGCACATACCCACCTTGGGACCATCCTCTCCAATCCTGACATGCACGAATATTGTATTGAGAGCTATTAACAGATTTATAAAAACTGAGATTGAACAACTGTAGTTGACTATTGCTATTTTTCATCATATGTTCTAACTATTCACAGAATGCCTGCTATGCCTACCATTTGATGTATCATTATTTAAGTAAATGTTATAAGAGGAATTCATTACATTTGGATAGGATAAAAAAACAAAAAACAAAATACCCTGTCCCACAAACATAGCACATTCAAATGCAAACAAAATGTGCTGCAGCTGAAATCCTATTAGAAGCAAGAACCCCAACATTAATTTTGAAGTGTTACTGTAGCATCGCCAACAATAACACATATATTACACCACTAGACCCTGATGAAATGGAGATGTGTCACAAATGCCTGATTCGCTGTGGCTCATTCTCCCTGTTGGCCCCTTCGACTGCTTCCTCCCCCAGGTACTCACCTTGAACCATTCCACCAGATCCCACCCCCTGTAACTGTTTTGAAGGTGCGTCTTTCCGAGGGCAGAACATGGCACAGGGAGAGGGAAGACGAGGATCCTAGGGACGTGCTGGCTCTCCTCCAGGCATTTTGGGGTCCTGTGTCTCATCTCAACAGAATGAGGGTATACCAGCTGCCAGGCAGATCCTCACCCATAGCTGTTATGAATCAATGGCTTGGCACTGCTTCCTGAGAGTCTGCCATCCCCTCAGCCCCCACCCTCTGCCCAGCCCTCTGTAAATCTTCCTCCGTGGCAGGCACAGACCTTCCCTGGAGTCCAGACAGGAGCCATCACTGTAAGAGTGCCTGCAGTGCACCAGGCAGAGTGCACCCCCTCACCCGTTTGTGGGTATTTTGTTCCTTCCTTTAATTTTATAGATGAGAAAATTGAGGACCAGGGTTTTCCAGGGGTTCCTAAACCAGCAAGAAGTAGAGGTGTGATTTGAACCCAGATCTATTCGATTCCAAAGCCCCATGAGGTCGCCTCTCTCTCATGTTGTATTTAGAGCACAAGTGAGATCTAATGAGGCCCTTAGAGGCGCGTGGAACACAGTGTCCGACTTTGATCAGCCCAGCAGGTCTCAGATCCCTGCGGCCAGCCCGAGGGGGGCACAGACCCCTTGGCTGCAGAGCAGGCTCCCTCCCTCAGAGCTGAACTTTTTTTTTTCCGCTTTGAATCTCCTGAAGTCCTAAATCTCTTGAGCCCTGATCTGCTTTTATCTCCTTTCCAGCTGCCCAGGTGACAGGTCCTAGCGCTGCTTTCCAGCTTCAGAGAGACTGAAGTTCCTCATCATCCTGCCCCATCAGTCTCTCTGGTGGTGACAGAGCCTCTCGATGGTCTCCTGGGGGAGCCAGAGAATCACTCCTGTTTACAGGTAAATAATGAGTTATTAAAAATATTTCCATACTGGGACCTCAGGGGGATTTCAATAAAGATAACTGGTGCAGGGAAAAGCCGGTTCCCAGGGAGGAAGGAGATGATTCACTACACACTTGAAAAAAAGACCAGCCTCATTTCCTCCCGAGCTAAAGGGGAAACTATTGCTCTAATGTGTGGCAGCAGATCTGCAAGAGGGTGGGGCCCAGCCGCCTCCTGGCGGGCATGAGGAGGTGTCTGCCACACCGGCAGAACTCAAGGGTGGCTGCAACTATGCCTGGCTGTCTCCTTGCCCTTCTCCTCGGCACTTTTTTAGGTGGGGGCTCCCCTCTCTGGCAAGCCCCCTGCAGTTATCTTCCCAGCCCTCTGAACCCAGAGCCTCAGTTTATGGTTTGACTCTCCTTAGTACATTGCTTTAATTTTCTGCAAGGAATATGGGACTTTATCTGGGTGGTGTGCTGAGGCTTGGTTACCTCTATGTCCTGGGAAGGAGTTTGCATTCACCCTTGCCCCTTTCCCAGACGCTGAGCATCTTTGGTCCTCCCAGTCTGCTGCCTGTAGGGGATCCCATATGCCTGAGAGCCACTGAAGGGCTTGAGTCACCCCCTCTTGGGATGGAAGGCAAGCTTGGCTGCGGTTCTTCACTCTAAATGGCCTTTTACTCTTCCCACAGGTGTCAGAGCTCAGACCATCCATCAGTGGCCACGCTCCAGGGTGCAGCCTGTGGGCAGCCCACTCTCCCTGGAGTGCACGGTGAGGGGGGCATCGAACCCCTACCTATACTGGTACCGGCAGGCCGGAGGAGGGGCCCTGCAGCTGCTCTTCTACTCTGTAGGCGCTGGCCAGGTAGACTCTGAAGCACCCCAGCACTTGGAAGCCTCCAGGCCCCAGGACGGCACATTCGTCCTGAATTCTACGAAGCTCCTCCTCAGTGACTCTGGCTTCTACCTCTGCGCCTGGAGTCCCACACTGAGCTGGGTGGGGCCGACATCTGTGCAAAAACCCCGCCCTCTCCTGAGTCCTCATTCAGGGACTGGGTGGAGGGGTTTGGCCCCTGGATTTCTAACTATCAGCCAATGTGAGAGCAACCAAATGAAGCCAGGTTCTCCAAAAGAACTTTCCTGAGTTCTCAGGGAGGGCAAACAGATTTATGCGTGCCAAACCTGAGACTCACATACACACAGTCAGGTTCCCAACGTACGATGTCTGGTCCTTAGCCATCACACACTCCAGCCCTTGCAGTGAGCTAGACTGGGCCTAAAACCATTCTCCCAAATTCCTGTCAGTCCACATTGGGCAATGCGTTTGTGTGTAGGTGAGTGAGCAAGGAAGGAAGCACCTGTAGCAGGTGTGCACAAATTTGAGGATGCCACTCAGGTGACTTAACGGGCTCATTTTCATCACCTGGAGAGTCTCCTGTTTTGGATCTTGCTGCAGAGACTACACATCTCGCAGAGGCCTGCGTGAGGCTTTGGGGCAGAGCAGGGGCAAGATACTAAGTAGACTGTTTCTGTGAGGGCCAGAAGTATGGTTCTGTTTGTATCAGAAACATGCACTTAGGGGTTGTGATTATTGATTAGGGTTTTTTATTCCCGTTTTACTGTCTCTCTTCCCTTCCTTTGCAGCTGAAGAGGGAGAAGAGAAGCAGATGGTGATCAAAGAGCTACAAGAGATAGAATAAAGAAGAGGGCATGCTTGTATAATGGAAAAACCCTAAAAAAGACAAATTCTCTGGATGGGAATGAAAGAGAGGAAAGGCTTACGGGGATGGCTGGGAAGATATGCCATGGTTACCTTGGCAACCAGGCTTCCTCAGCCCTCAGTGGCTCAACCCTCCCTCCCGTCCTTGTTCTTAAAAGGGTTTTCTTTTCTAATGTCCCTTCTGCTCCGCGAGGGGGCACACAAAGTCTTAAAATACCCTGCTCCTGGCTTCACTTCATCTAGGACAATCCAGACATGCCTTTATTTTCAGTATCATTTAGTTGGCAGAGGAAAATCTGACACAGAGACACGGAGTGATCAAGTCAGTCTTCTGGAATGACCAAGGCTTCCTAGTGTACATTAAGGATTAACTTCTGTGTCATGTGCTGAGTTCTCCGAGCCATCACAGGGATTAAAAAGAGTAATGGTGCTGGGCTTCATCACAGCATGGTTTGATCAAAGCTCTTGGTTTGCTTTTTCTTCCGCATGCATGAATGTTTAATTCACTGAGGCAGTACAGATGCATTTACAGTGCAAGCTGGGATCACATTCATAGTAAACAACATCTCAAGCTAATGTATGTTAGCTGGTTATTGAACATCAGTGGCAGTAGATCTCTTGCCGTCAGATTATTTTTACCGACTAGACTCTTGTATTTTGAAAAGGTTTAGGTTAACATAAAAATTGAGCAGATAATAAAGTTCTCATATATGCCCCTTTCCTCCTTGACTTTCCCGTTATTAATATCTTACACAGGTGTGGTACCTTTGTTGATGAACCAGTATTGATATACTCTCATAGTCCATGGTTAACATGAAAATTTACTCTCTGTTTTGTACATTTCCATGTTTTTTTTTTACAAATATATCATGTCTTCTATTTACCATTATGGTGCCACACTGAATAGTTTCCTGGCCCTGAGTCCCCTGTGCTATTTCTCTCCTCTTTTCCCTGGAAACCCTAGTAACCACTGATCTTTTTACTGTCTCTGTATTTTTAAGGTACTTGGTTTTTGAGTCCAAATTTACTCTTTGTTATGACTTGGGCCAATCATCTCTCTAGGCCTCATTTTCCCCATCTGTCAAATTTCCCTGATTGGATTAAGTATATTAAATGATGTGGTATTTACATTACAAGGCCTTATGACAGGGCTAATTTTCAGCTGATTCTATTTCCTTCTTTAAGCTTATAAGATATTGGGATCACAATTACCCAAAACAAAGACTTGTTTCTTTTCAAATTAAAATTTAAACTATGTAGTTCATTAACAATGTTAAATATATTTGGATGGCAAACCCATGAAACTTACATTGTGCTCATTTGATACTGATCATTGTTTTTTTCGGTTGGGGTTTTATGCAGCCTCAGAATCATTCTGAACACAGATGTGCCAAGTAGTTGCTATTAATCAGGTGGAGTTGGTAGGAGAGTCAGAATAGATTTCCCATTCCTGTGAAAGTTCGAAAGTTCAGTAAAGTTATGGAAAACCTCATGTAGGAGGCAGAATTTTAGCAAGGATGAGCTTTATGGGAGGCTCGTGTTTAGATAAGCAGAATGACATTCTCAGCAGGAGAGTCAGTGTGAGCAGAAATGTGGCTCTCAGTGAATTTTGTAAGTTCCAGAAAAGCAGTGAGGGAACAGCCCTGGTCATTGTACCCGTCAACAGAGAGACGGGAGGGGATTCGCAGTTCAGGAGAGGTTAGGTAAGGGGAGGCTTCAAAGCCGTGGAAATTCATCAGAGCCAGTTCACATCATCCATGTCCTCTGCCTTACTTATAAATTAGAGTCGGTTAAGCTTATGAATTAGAGTCTAGTTCCTAACTGCTCCATAGCTCAGGCTTCTGAGCCTGGGAGACAAAGGAAACTAGCTCAGGATGGCAGATGTTGTTCAGATATGCTCCCTTGCCAGAAATTCATCAGTCTCACTTGCTCCTTGGGCCCCAGATGAGTCCATCAGTTTTCTACGAGAGCCTTCAGAAACCTGTTCTGGGCTCTGACCTTGTAGGTGTATCACGATCTACTCTCATTCTGTCATTCCCAGGCCACTGGCATGTGGAGGATCCCAAGCCACATGCCGTGGGTCGGAGGAATTCCCCTCAGGTGGTGCTGGGTCTCTGCCACTCTGGGATTTGTAGGGAGGGAGCCTGGGGCCTCAAGGCTTTGGGCTGAGCCCCCCACAGCCCCTGGGCTTGGCCTGTTGAGTGTTAGGTATCATGTTATTTCCCATTCCCTCCTTCGGAGTATTCTTCTTCCCTGATGTCCAGTTCTGTCTGCATTATGTTCTTCCTCCCCCACTTGGCTAGAGGGGGTAGAAAACAGCCGTCACACAGACCTCGGGGGGCATAGCGATAGGGATGACACTTAGAGACTCCAGTCCGTCGGGAACACACACCAGCCCAGATACCCTGGGAGGCCTGTTTTCAGTCTGTTGCCTGTGTGGGGCTTCCTTTCTTGTGACTCATTGGCCCCTCTTTAGATGAGTGGAAGGAAGTGGGAAGGCATGTGGGGAAGGGAGTTGTTCAGAGGCAGGTGGGAGAGGGGGTAGCCTGAGTGATGTGGGGCCAGAAGGCACCCCGATTAGGTCAGAGCAGTTACGGCAGCTGTTCTGCATTCTCCCCTCTCTCCGAGGTGCCTGCTGCAGCCTCTTATCTGCAGGGTCACCTCCAGCAGGTGGAGAAGTGATGCTGGGGGTGGGGTGGTCTGCATGGGGAGCTGAGGCACCTAGGTCCCCCTCCAGAGAGCCTCTCGCTCCCTTTGTGGTTCTGTTTCCACGGCCCGGCTGCTCGCGGGGGGCCCAGGTGGAAAGGGGACAGGAGGGTGTGGCAGGATGTGGTGAGCCGGTGAGCAGAAGGTGGGGGGGGAGGGGCTTTCACGGGAGCCCAGATGCAGGACCTGGTAAATGTCAAGCCACATCCTGTTGTGAGGCCCTGTGGTGGCACTTGGGCGATGAGATGGCTGTGCTGATGTTACCCAGAGATAAACGAGATAAACAGCCCAGCACCCGCACGGGCCTCAGACACCCCAGCCCCAGCCCTTCCACACTTGGCTCCTGAAAGACCCCGACCCGCATCTCTTTACTGCCCGGCATTGCTTCAGGGCCTCTGTCCTGTAAACACCGTGCAACCCTCAGTCCCGACCCTGGAGGAGGCCAGGGAGCCAGGTTCAGGGCTTCCATGGCCCTTGTTGGCTGTGGGGCGCTGGGCTCAGCACAGTGCCGCTGCCAGCACAGACAGCCTCTGTGGATGTGACCAGCTTGAGTCTGGAAAGAGCTTAGATTCCCTGCATCATCTTCCTCAGGGTGGTTTGGGGCCTACAGACTTAGAATCACTGAATATGAACAGCATTTTGAAGATTCTTTAGAGCTCACTACCCAGTATCCTCACTTCACAAAGAGGGCTACAGACACCCAAGAAGAAAATGAGGGGTCCAGTGCCATGCAGCTGTGAACAGAGGAGGACCCTACATTGTAGCAGCTTCTGAATCTCAGACACAACTTAGGGGAACAGGGGCTCTGTACTGAGATGTGCTCTTGCTATGAGTTTTACAAATATCACTTGAGTAAGAATAAGGCACAGTGATCATTATCTGAGGTGGCATGAGTTTGAAGGCATAAATATGGTGAAACTCAGAATTCTAGAAACTAGACAGGTTGCAGAGATGAGCTGAAGAAATAAGATAGAATTAAACAAGCACTCCTTTCCCTTGCTTCCCTCCCCAACCCACCAAAAAAGAGAAAAGCAGCAATCTGAACACAAGAAGGGGATTACGTGGTTTCCAGCAGGACTGTGAGAAAAACCCAGGATTTTAGTCAGAAGAGAGCTCAGTGGGTCAGTGGGGGTGATGGGGGTGCAGGATGTTGAAAAGTTGCCCTACTAGAACCATGAAGGATTTTGAGACTAAGGAAGTAATTTTCCCCCTTCACTGTATGTAGGTCACAATCCACCTGGTGCTGTGTCCTATTCTGAACACCACACTCTTAGAAAAGTGGGAGGGTAAAAACAACAGCAAGTGTTTTCAGAAGAGAGTGGTAGGGCTGTGGCGGGTAGGACATGCTCAAAACTGTGTCATATGAGAAAAAAAATGGGGAAAACAGGAAACTATTGGCCTGAGAAAAACTCTAGGCTAATAACAGTTAATACACTTGCAGCTATTTATTGATGCCATGATAACAGCTTTGCAACTCGTGTGAATTAATAAGATGAAACCACTTATGAAGTTAGGTTGGTGACTGAGCCCATTTTATAAGAGAGAAAGCTGAGTCTCAATAGTGGTCACATAGCTAAGAAGTGGCAGATCTAAGGTTGAACCTAGGGCTCTTTAAAAGTCCATATTCTTAGTTAGCATAATGTCATCTATCTACTTCATGATTTTTCCAGTCTGCACTCTCCAGTTTTAAAGGTTCTGTCTCTTCTTTCTCTCATAGATCTGTGGACTCTCAGCTAGGAGGTGAACATGCCAGCTGTCTTATATAAACCTCTCATGGAACTTATTCTCTGTGTTTTAGCAGCTTCTGGATCTCAAAGGGTAAGGGAACATATCATTATGACCAATGAGGGGTGGTACAGTGAGATTTATGGATACTTAAACTGCACAAAATTCTTCATTGGGCTGTCCAGTGGTGAAAGGGCCCAGCCAGACAGATTGGGAGGCCAGGCCCAACTGTAGGGGACTCAGCACTGTGCATTGTATGTTTCTTTACCATCCAGAGTGTCAATGAGTCCAAGATCCAGTCAAGGTCAAGATCAAGCCCCACTTTGGGAATGAGGTTTCAGAAGACTGAGTTGTATTTCTGGAGTGGCCTAGAACTTGGGCAGGAGAGGTCATGGCCAGGGTCAGCATCAAGTCACTATTTTAAAAACCACTTCCTTACATCAGCAAGTCTGGTTCGGATGCAATAGTGGGGTTGGGTCCATGGGAATCCCTGCAGGCAGTCTTCCTGTCAAGTCCATCCCTTAGACTCACAGAGGGCAGCTGAGATGAGTGAGAGCAGGCTGATGAAATGTCTGTGGAAATAGTCACAGCTGGGGGCTAGTTTCCAGGTCCTTTTGCTAACCTACAGATCCATTTACTCATCTCTGGGACCCAGTCTTCCCAGGAACCCTTTTAGTAGTCCAAGCACAACAGAGTTAAAGGCACTGGTGGAGAAGGGCATGCACGGTGACCGCAGAGGTATGGGGGGCAGAGAACATGTCCTCTGAGGGAGGGCGATGGCTCAGGGCTCAGCCAGGCATTGTCATGGTGAATCCCAGGGAGAGGCAGAGAGGTATGGTGTGTTAAAGAGCCCAGGAACCTCAAATCCACAAACACAGCTCTAGGGAAAAGAGTCTTCAGGATAGGATAGGGGGATATCCAACCTAGCCTGAGATACGGAATGCTTAGTACCGAGGCCCAGATGAGGGGATGACATCTCACATTTACAGGGTGTCAAGGCCCAGAAATCACCTTTCTGGGAACTAAGGGACTCTGCCACAAATAATGGGAATGAACTGTATAGGATTGTTGCCCAGCTTGCTGGCCTTCTGTACTGAATCTTCTTATATGGGCATAGGGCCATTTCCACTGACGTGGTAAAAGTGAACTTAATACTGAAAGTTTTTGAAGATGTCAGTGGGTGAGCAGAAGACACATTCACCCAGAGGTCTGTTACAATACTAAGAACCGACCTGGGGATGTTGACCATTCTTAATCTCCATCAGCATCTCCTAACACCTCTCAATGAAAATGTCTGGCTATGAGCATGTTTCTGTTGTACACAAATAGCTTCCAGAGAGATCTGGGGCACCAATCTGCCATCCCTAAGCAGACTGACCTCATGAAGCTTCTCCTGTGTGGGACATTTGGGCCTGTGTGTCACACAGGCTGTTCGGGGCTGAGACCAGTCAGGCTGCCCCTCCCTGGATCACTATGGAAGAAGAAAAAGAGGGAAATGACTGAGGGCAGGAAATGGAGATATCAGTATCTATCAGGAACCATTGCTCTTTCCCCAGCCTCTCTTGTTCTATCACCTTTTTGTTTTTCTTCTCTCTCTCACTCATGCGCCGTGCAGCAGGCAGGGTTGCAGGGCCTTATGGGTACTGGTGCTGATGGAGAATTCTTCCTGGCAAGTGACAGCGGCCTGAGCTGTACTTCCCCACAGGAATCCCAGTCCTCCACCAGGACATCCCCATTATCGCCTGACAGTTGGAGGCTTCCTTTTCCTCCTGATTTCTGAATGAATCTCTGATGGCTGAAGGGTTGAGGTCCCTCTCCTGGAGCGCCATTCATAGGGAGTCAGCTGTGCCCCATTGGATGGTGAGAGCTTGGGCACCCTGAGCATGCCTCCTGAGATGCTGGGCTCTAAGTCTCTTCAATCAAGATGCATGCTTTGCCCCTGCTCCGGCCTCACCTGTGGAGTTCACAGCTTGACTACATTCTGCCCCCGGATTTCCTCAATGGTATGAGGCTGAGATGAGGCTTGAGATGGGAGTGAGTAGCCAGACCCAGGCCAGTGAAGAATTGCCTTAGGGATCCCCTACCCAAAATAACCCTGAATCCAGAGCCCCTTGAACTGAGTGCCTTATGGCCTGGTTTGCAGGGTGACCCCAGATCACTCCTCTGGCCCCTCCTCCCTGCCCCCTCAATACTATCCCCATTTGTACAATAAACCGTGTGCTTGCCCAGCATCTAACCCATCTTTGCTCAGTTTCACCTGAGGAAGAATGGGTGGGACGCCTGGGACTGGTCCAGAGGATCTGCTTAAACTCAGTGGCAGAGGCAGAGGCCGAAGAGATGAACTACCCAGAGCCTCTTCTAAGAGGGACAACGAAATGGCTGCGTAGACCTGGGAGGAGGGGGCCTTCCCCAGGTCACGTGGGGTGGCGGGCAGGGACCAGATGCTGCGGATGACTTCCTCCATCTCTACCGTGTCCCCTGAGCTAGTGGGGGAAGGGCCCTGACCTGTCTGCCCTCCACAGGACTGCCCTTTGTCCATCACCTTGGAACACCCTCGCCCTGCATCCTCCACCCTCCCATCCCCGGTGCTGACAGAAACGCCTTCCATGTCCCCCCACCTGCAGGTGCCCCTGCTGTCAGGGTCCCCAGGGTGACAACCCCAAGCCCACAGACCCCACTTCCCTCCCCTGAGGGGCTATCCTCTTCCCACCTCCCTTTGATCTTTGCTGTGCTCCTCCTCAGCCCCTGCTCACAGTTTACATGCATGACCTGCCTCCGTGCCTGTCCCTGTGGCCCCACAACCCGTCCTCTCTGAGGCATCGCCTCATCTGTCAGCGGCCCACCTTGTGGAGTCACCACACACACATTCACAGAGCGGGAGGCCCTGCTTCTGTGGGTGCTGGTCTAAGGCCTGAACCCTGTCTCCTTGGTTTTGGGACTTTTGTATCCATTATAAAAACGAGTAATAACAAATAAGAAACTATACTGCAGTTGAAAAATCTAGAGATAATTATCACTGCTGGGAAGCTGCAGGCAGGTGATAAGTTTCCCAGGCCGCCCCTGCCCTGTGTGGTATCCTTTTCTGGCCTGGGTGAGCTGGGTCCAGAGAACCCCTCATCTCCAGTTCCTGGAGACTCAGGGAGTGAGCATTATGAGAATGTCCCCCCAAAATTTATGTCCGCCCAGAACGTCAGAATGTAACCTCATTTGTCAGTAAGATCTCTGCAGATGTAAATGTCAAGGATCTCAGGATGAAAACCTTCTGAGTTTGGGATGTGTCCTAAATCAATGACTCACGTCGTGATAAGAAAAAGGAGAGGGAAATTTAGACATGGAGACACCAGAGGAAGGTCACGTGAAGTAGGTATAAGGCTGAAGGGACGCTTCTACAGGCAGAGGAGTGCCAGGGGCACCAGACGTAGGATGAAGCAAGACAGACTGTGCCCGGGGCCTTTGAGGGATTGTGACCCTGCCCACATCTTTATTTTAGGACTTCTGGTCTTTGAAATTGTGAGAGAATAAATTTCTATTGTTTTAAACCTGTCAGATTTGTGGTTCTTTATCACAGCAGTGCCAGGAAACAATTACACTCAGGAACCAGGGCTGTTGGGTCTGTGCTGTGGGTCCTGTGCTGGAGTTTGGGGGCAGCTGCTCCAGTGATGCCCCATGATGATCACACCCTCCCAGTCACCACTCGGAAAAGCTTCCTGAGTTTTCATCCTCAGATGAACGTGCCACAGTTCCACAGCTTACCAGTCATTTGATATAAGAACTGTGGCTTCTTCACCAATACAGTGGAGGAGCCACATCTGCTTCTGGGGTCACTGAGGAGTTAACTGGAACCATGGTGTACCAGTGCCCAGCCCCAGGTCTGGAGCTAAGCAGGCCCTCAATATGGGACTCCATCTCCACTGTCCATCAGCTCTCAGACTTCGCCCTCACCTCTGACCTCTGCCTCAGCTACCTTACCCACAGCCTCTCTCACTCTCTGGGCCTTCCTTCCTCCAATGGCATCGCTCCCCACTTGGCAACATTTGCTGTGTAGCATGTTTACCTGGGAGAACTGTCTCTGCTCTGGTGCCTGTGGGGTGGCCTGCTCTCCTCCCCTCAAGTGAAAGAGCCTGTTAGAAGGGCTACTTGGGTGTAGACCGCAGCCCCACTGGGCCCTGCTGCCCTCTCCATTCCACTCCCAGGGCCCAACCCCATGTGCCCCGCCTCTGTGAAATCTCCAGGCTTCCCATGCCTATAGTTTCTACTCTGTGGCTTTAGGACCTAGACCAGCAGAGTAGAACTAATCTCATGCCAAAATCCCTAAATGAGATAAGATGGAGGTGTTCAGAACAGACACAGATAAAACCTAAATGCCCAATAAATGAAACTTGACTCTGGAGTTCAGAATGAGAGGCCTTCCAGCCCACAGGCCTGCCCTGGGCTCTGCCCCTGCGGTGGTGGGCGAAGGGCTCTCCCGTGCTCATCCTCATGCAGGTGTTCTAGGGCCCAGAGGTGGGGCCTGCGTATGGACCCAGGGGGTGTCCTCCGCCGGGATGAACAGGGGGAAGCAGCTGTGGTCAGAAAGGAGGTTGGTCACTCTGTGTGCCTGAGGGCTGGGCCTTTCCTTAAACCTTGGAAGGGCAGAACTCCACAGATACTGAGACACAACTAGGCCCAGCATGACATGTTTATTGATTTAGTCTATTTCAGATTCAGGGTCGATGAGCTCAAGGGAAGCAGAGAGAAGGGACATACACCCATGTAGGAAGGAGAATGGAGAGGGAGAGAGAATAATTTGTTACGAACACAGAGTGGAAGCATGTGAAGAAAAATCCAGGGTGAGGCTTAGGAATGACTCAGGATGCATTTTTGGAGCTGGTCTCAGGAATCCTTTCTCTTGACCTGAGAAGAGAGGAGGACATTGTCAGCATCCCAGGGGCCGGGACCAGCAGGAGGGAGTCACAGGGGCCAGACCCTGAGGCCTGACTTGGGGTTAGGGCGGGTGGATTCTCCTTGTCCTCCGGTGCTGCGCCCTGTGCTTTCTCCCCAGTTTGGCAGGCCGGGTATAATGTCCTTGAGGTGGGCGGTTCTCAGGGCTGAGTGAGGCTTGGAGATCCCTTCTGATCCTGTGAGGCTCTACCCTCTCTCCCCAACCTGCCTGTCCCGTCCCGCCCTGCTCCTCACCATGGCCATCAGCACCAGGGCGCTGACCAGCACAGCGTACAGGGTGGCCTTGCCCAGCAGGATCTCGTAGAGGAGGGTGGCAGACAGGACGCCCTGCTGATAGGACGCTGTTGGCGGGAAGGGAGAGCAGGTAGGCTCCTGTGGAGCAGGTATCTCTGGTCCCCCCACCACCACCTCCCAGCGTCCATGGGCTCTTCATTTGCTGGTTCCAGAGCAAAGGCCATGGGAGACGGAGAGGGAAAGGAGGGGCCACTCACCTGAGCTGAAGCCACAGTCTGCTGGAGAGAGGGGGAGAAAACTGGGTGAGTCTCCATCTTCCACAGCGGATTAAAAGCTAAGCAGCCTCGTGTTAGCTCAGACTCCCAGGCTCAGACCAGCCCCCCACCAGAGTCCCAGCACCGTCTTTCTCCTGTTGTGCCAAAGAAGCCACGTCATCCTTGGACTCCGTGGTACTTGGTGGCATTGAAGGGGAGGGGGGCGTGGCACCCAGACGCTGAGCCGGCCAGGCCGGTGGGAAGGGGGCCCTAGCTGCTGGCTCTGTTGGGCCGCAGGTCGGGGAGGAGTGCCCGAGGGGCCCCGCTCACCGTCAGGGTGGCTGCAGTGTCCCCACGCTGTCCCCAGTTTCCGTGTCTGTGCCGGGGGTCTCCTGCCCGGACCCCCTTTCTCTGCCCCCACGGCTCCTTGCGCAGGCCTCCCGGCCCCGCTCACCTGCTTTGCCCCAGGCACCGGCGCTGATGTTCTGGGTGACGGGTTTGACCCGGCCCTCCGGCCACGGGTCCTCCTCCGTGAGCCCGTAGAACTGGACTTGGCAGCGGAAGTGGTTGCGGGGGCTGCGCCAGAAGGCGGCGGAGACCCGCAGCCGGCTGCTCAGGCAGTAGCTGGAGTCGCTCTGGTCGGGCTGCTCCCTGTAGGGCTGAGGGTCCGTGCTGACCCCACTCTCCACCTCCTTCCCGTTCACCCACCAGCTCAGCTCCACGTGGTCGGGGTAGAAGCCTGTGGCCAGGCACACGAGGGTAGCTTTGTGGGTGCGGGAGATCTCTGCTTCGGAGGGTTCAAACACGGTGACCTTGGGGGGGGTCACCTTGCTCAGGTCGTCTGGAAGGGAAGAGGGGTGGGGACCAGGGTGGGCTGAGAACCATTGGGGTTCATAGGGGCTGTGAGTGCATGTGTGTCTAGGGGAGGGGATTCCATAAACAGAATTATGTGGTAGAAGGTCCTGCTGTTTGGGGCTCACCATCCCATATTCCAGGGCTTGTTCTCCTTGGGCCTTACTTGTCCTTTGTAGTCTCCCTACGAACAGGCACTGTCTACTGTCTCTCCAGCCCCCTAAGGTGCACTATTAATGGCACTGCCTAACATTCTGAGCAACATCCCTTCATTGACATTATTTAGTTTCTTCTCCATTAATAAAAGCTTACCTGTCTACTTCTTACTATACTATGGGGTAGTTACTTAAATGGACCACTGGAGTGGAATCCAAATGACAGAACCTAAATCTTAGAACTGACTTTGTCCATTGGTGTGACTTTTAGACAGCCTCTTAATTTCTCTGCATCCCCTTGTGAAGGGGAATCACAGCACTGGCTTTCCAGAATGGCTACAGAGACTCAGCGATGTAAGGGTTCAGAAAGCTCCTGTCCTCGGCCGGGTTATTTCTATCTGAACCTAAGGGGCTGAGGAGTAGAAGGGAACTGGGATCCAGCGTGTCATGTTGGGTGCGGGGTTATTCCTCAGACGGCCATGCTGAGGTGCCCTATTTTTGCGTGCTCATGAGGATGTGAGGTCGGTGGCTTGCGAGGTCATTCTAGCCATTCCTCTCCCTCCAGGTGCCCCTGAATTTCATCAGCTCAGACAGATAGCAATCGCCCCTCATTTCAGTTCAACCTTCTTTGCTCCTTTACTTCCAAATGTTACACTTTCACCTACCAGCCAACTTCCTAATAAGCATCTGAGATCATTGCAGCATCTTCTTGCTACCAGCTGTCTCCACCCGAGTTTTGTCCTGAGCCTCTGCAGAGTCCCAGGGCCTCTGGTGAAGGTCCTCGCATTCATGTCCCCGCAGCCTTCTCCCTCAGCTGCCTCGTTTCCTTTGGGCTCATCCTCCATTCAGTTTATCCTGCTCTTTGCTTCCCATTGAGTTTGTTAGTTTGTTTCTGAGCAATTGTGTGAAAATGAAGAAATCTCTTTCTTATGAGAATCTGGTTTAGCCTGGAAGACGGAGAAAATGTTCTTCTGACACTTCACATTTCTGTGGCCGAGACCTAACTCCCAAGTCCAGCTTCATGGGTGTGTCACTGTGCACAGGACCCTCTGCTTAGCAGGGCCCACTCTTGGTTTAATGGTGCCATCACCATTTGGAAATTCTAAATAATTTTTTAACAAGAACCTCGCATTTTCCTTTCGAAAATGAAATGCCTCCTACCATTCAGCTCCCCTCTCTGCAGCTCCAACCTGGCTAATCACTGCTCTGTCCTGGCTGGCCAGGACTGCAACAGGACAGTCATAAGGTCTGCAAGAGTTCCTCGGTGCCATACTGCCCTCGACGCAGCTGGATGCCGGGCGGGACAGACAGAACCAGAACCTTCACTATCTGTCTGAGCTGAGAAAGGCATTGTGCTTAGCTCTGTGGGGAGGGCAGGCCAGTTACCCCTCCATGTAGGCGTGGTGGGCTTCCTATGCCAAGTAAGTGTGTGTATTAGTGAGATTCTGTTTGCATATGCTCTGCTTGAGGGTTGGACTGCCCTCAGGCAGAACTGTGAAGTTTATCCTATGTTTTTCTTATTCCCCATCCATCTCTCATAGTACCCAGCTGTCCACTCCATTATCCACATGCCAAATCCTGTCCCTCCTTTGGCACTGGCCTCAGCCTCTTCCCTCCCTCCCCAGTGACCATCTAGGGGAAGGGTGGGGAAGGGAAGCACAAAATTACAACAGTCCACCATTTGCAGGACACTCTACCTGTAACTTCTCTATAATCCTCATAGCAATATTCCGTGGTAGGTTTTGTCGATAACATACGGCAGAAGGAACCAAGGTTCACACAGATTAATTTACCCAAAGCCGGGAGTTGGGACCTGGGTTTATTTGGTCTTTCTCCACCCTGGCTGATCACAGGAATGTAGCATTTCCTCTGGGCATATTTTAGCCTAAGGTCCATTGGCTCCTGCTTAATGACAGTCTAACTACAAACGGTGCTTGTTGTTGTCAAATAACCCAGGTTAGTGTAGCAGTACTGTAAGTTTCTTCCCCTCTATGGCCTCAAGGTTCTCATCACCAGGTGGCATATCCATACCTAAGAGCCTAGGATCCCCTGGGAATGTTCCTCCCCTCCCCAGCAAAATATCTGCATTGTACTACGTTTTTGTGAACTTCCTGCACCATCTGGGCAGGTTAAGTGCGAACACTTCGAGTAAGGAGGGAGACTTCAAGCTGGGGGAGGGGGCAGATGTGGGGGCTGGTGCACCCCAGCGCTGAGGTTCCAGTCCAAGCTCATGGGCAGGAGTGGGTGCTGCACGCACACCCCTGGCCCTCAGGCTGTGAGGCTTAGCAAGGACAGGCAGGGTTTAAAATCTTAAAATCTTACATTTTAAATCCAGGGTTCTAAACATTAAATCAATAACCCGCGGTGTGATTTGATCTTGTTACGTACAGACTCATGCTCGTCGCCTGTCTTTCGGGCTTCTGCTTCTCCTCCTGCTCTGTTCACTGCGCCCTCCACCTGCAGCTCCCAGGAGCCCACTCAGCTGGGTGCCTGCCATCCCGGGCTCCTTCCCGCTGTGTCCTGCCCTTGTAGCTACCGCCTCCCCCAGTACAGTAGTTACACCCCCTCCTGCCCTTCCCCCAGCCCAGGCTTTCCCTTCTGCATTTTTCTCCAATCTGGCAGCTCTCAGAGTCCTACAAATAAATCATCTCCTCGGTCGCTCACTTTGTCCCTAATACCTCAGGAAAAATAAAGCAGTGGGGGAGCCCCGGAGCCGCCTCGCCCTCTGCCCTGCTCCACAGAAGTGAGCGCCCATCCCTCGCCTCACTTGCAGAGCTGCCCCCGCTGACGGAGAACGCGCCGCGCGCCCCAGCTGCCGCCACGCACCTCCGGGGACCGAGGGCCGGGCCGGGAGAGAGACGGGCAGACCTCACCTGTGACCGTGAGCCTGGTGCCGGGGCCGAAATGCTGCTCATAGGAGCACGGCGGCCCAGCCCCGCGCCCAAACCCCCGGCACCCCAGCTGCCTCCTCCCTGCGTCCCGGCCGGGCTCCAGCCCCCGGGAGCGGGGCCGGGGCCGGCATGACACTGAGCCCACCCGCTGCCCTTACGCACGACGGTCAGCCGGCTGCCTGGCCCGGAGGTCAGGGCGGCGGCTGTCAAGGAAGGCCACGGAGCTCCCCGCCGGCACCCGCCGCGCCCGCTCACCGAGCACCAGGAGGCGCGTACCGGGCCCGGGCCACGGCCCCCAAGCCGCGCGCAAAAACCCGCGTCCGTCCCCGCTTCCCCTGGCCCGCGCTCACCTAGCACCGACAGCCGGGTGCCCGGGCCGAAGTACTGAGTATTTTGGCACAGCGCCTGGTCGCAACACAAAAACTGACCTGGCCACTCGCTGGCGTCCGAAGAGCCCCACTCCCGCCCCGGCGCCCCGGGGCACCCCTCTTACCCAGCACAGTCAGCCGGGTGCCTCGGCCGAAACTGAGTGTCTGTGCTCACATCCTTGAGCCCCAGGACAAAAACCCGGCGTTGCCGTCGCCTGCTGCCCTGGCCCGGCCCTGGGCGCCCCCAGCCCCGAGCGCTCCATCGCTCACCAGCCCCTGGAACCAGGAGTCCCGGCCAGCGCCCGCCGGCCCCGCGCCCAGCCCCAAACGGAGGGGGGCGCAGCCCACCTCTCCCCTTCCCAACCCCAAGGAGCGCTCCAGGCCCTCCCGCTGTCCTCCTTACCCAGGACGGTCAGCTTTGAACCATCCCCAAAGTACAGCTGCGCGGTGTTTGCACAGTCCTGGGGCCCCAGGTGCAAACTCCACCTTTCGTGGCTGGGGCCCCAGGAGGGTCCAGCACCCACTCCTAGAGGGTTCAGGGGGGCTTGCTGGCCGGGCAGCCGACCCTTCCTCCCTTCTTACCTAGCACTGTGAGCCGGGTCCCTGACCCGAAGTGCTGTTCACTGTAGGAGCACAGTGGTAAGGGGATTGCAGCGAATTCCTCCCCCTTCCCCACCCTCCTGGCACAGGCTGAGGGTGTACCCTTCTCCTTCCTGGGCTTCTCTCTCCCCACCTCCAGAACTAGCTGGGCACAGCAATCTGGACACTGCATGAGGTCACTCCAGTTTGCAGAGGAGAACCACCTTGGCTTGGGGACAGCGCAGTGGATGTGAAATCTGAAGGGGAAGTTGTGCTGGCTGGGCTTGGGGTGGGAAGTGGTCCAGGCTAGACCCTGCTTCTTACTACTTACATGACCTGTAACCTCTCTGGCCTTAGTTTCTTCACCTGAAAAATGGGGTAATACCTTTCCCACTGGGTTGTTGTAAGTCCTTAATAAAGACCCCACATGTAAGTGCTTTGTCCAAGGGCAAGTTTTATGAAAAGTTCTGCATGATAATCCCACTCTCCACGACGACTTGGCCCTTCATGCTCCTGGAAGCTGAGTCTGGAGCAGCGAGATGCAGAAGTAGACGTGGCGTCCAGGCCCCTGCCAGACCACAGCAGGGACCAGCTCCAGAGACCTCCCCCGGCTGCTGTCCCATCTGGGAGCTGTGTTCCCTGGGCTTGGCAGGGACATTTTCTAAGGCAGGGCTTTTTGTAAAGGCACCTCCTCTACCTGAATCATTGTGGACCCCCCCCCAGCTCCCACAATGTTACACAGGGATACAAAAACGTTTCCTTCCCTCTGGTCCCTTCCCCCAACCAGTGGGCAAGGGCAGGAAGCGCAGGTGGCAGAGCCTGGTCTGATTGCGTGGGGCTGGGAAAAGACAAACTCTGAGCACATGTAAACTGGGGAGGGGTTTGGGGAAGGTCCTGGTGCTGCGGGGTGGGGTGCAGGGAGGAGCAGAGAGTCCCCTCCCTGGAACATAAACCACTCTGAGGAGTTCTTCTGTGTCATGAGGTCTCCCTTCTGGG